AAAAAGCTTGGGCTGGAGTTGCTCAAGTAACTCTGCATGTCACCGTCGATGAGTAGACGAAGCGTCTTCGAGCTATAACTAGCACAGGAGACGGTTATTTAAAATAACCGTGTGTTTGTTTTGCAGATGCAATGCTTAGTAAATTACTCACAAGAATTGATCATGTATTAATATAAACTGCGGTTTCTGAGGGCCAATTTTTTTGTTACCATATTTATGGCGCACCCTGTATTAGGGTATGGCCCATGTTGACGCCCACCTTTTCCTTTCTTTTGGAGTGCGCGCTGATTTCTTGCTTCTCATGACTGACTAATGATTCGTGACAAAGTCTAATTCTTTCCGTGAGAGTAATTGGACGGTTAGTATCTTACTACTAAAGATTTTTTGCAGAGATCGCCGCGCAGACATGCACGAGATTCGTCGAGCGAACGATCGCCCCGAAGTAAAAGAGATAATGACGAGAAGGATATACCATTTGAAGAACTAGAGGAGGTGGACTGTTGTGAGTGTTTATACTCTGTTAGCTTATAGCTGCCTCACCGAACCTATTTTATCTTGTGACTAGTCTTCGGCCCTGATTTTCAGGTGACGAAATAGGCGAGGATGGCTCCGATGGTGCCTCCGGCACAGGCGAGTCTCACTCAGGGTGGGTCGAAATTTTAATATTCCATTGAGTAGACCTGACCCGAGATAGATGAGTGAATTTTTAAATTATCGGCTCTAACAACTTGGCTTCAGACTTTAACTGTAGTTATTTGTTTATGTAGATAAATTAGAGGTCTGGTCGTAAATTAGAACACCCATATAGAAAATGTTTCTCTGTTGAGCTGCTTCATTTTAGAGAGGACGATGATCTCGACGATGCCAACGTGCTGCCAAAAGTTCAGAGCACAACTAACGTCGACGATGATTTCCCTGATCTTTGTGAAGAGATAGATGCTGATGCCATGAGGCGAGCTGCCGCGGCTGCTGCTTCTAATGTCGTCCTCTTCGCTGACGAGCTCGAGCCGCCTGAAATTATCAGTTCACCTCCGAGATCCAAAGTTTCGGCAACTAATGATGATTCGCATCGTGGAGATAGAGAGAGACATGGCGTATCTTCCCGAAGGCATCGGACTAGCGTCAATGGTGATCGAAGAGATGGTACATTTAAGTGGTCATCCAACAACTACAGACGATTTGTGGTCACGGAGCCTTTTTTGATGTGTGTAAAACAGATGATTTTCCACTTTAGAAGTACGGCGTCATCATCGTCATGTAGATCGAGATGAACAAAGGTCGACGCGATATTCAAAAGCACAGAACGGATCAAGGAATAGGGAAGATCGACAACACGAAAAACATGCGGAAGATCGACAACGCGAGAAACGTGCTTCGTCAAGAGAGGCTCGACCTTCTGAAGATCGACATCACGAGAAACGTGCTTCGTCAAGAGAAGCTCGACCTTCTACGTCAGATCAAACAGATCGGCCAGAAAAAAGCGCGAGAGATGATGCGGAAATCATTTCCGTGCGAGGACCGTTAGCTGGCGGTTGGTGCCAGATGGACGATGAGAAAGCTACTCCTTCATCGTCGGACCATCGTTCTTCTACCAAGATTAGCCGCGAGGATGACCATACAAGGAGTAAGAGTAGCTCCGCAAATGTTAATAGTTCCTCGACGAAGCGCAGGTCCAATTCCAACGAAGAAGATCGCGACAAATCTGAGGGATCTACGAAGTATAGGAAGACGTCCTCTCCTTCAAGGAAGCGAGCCCCTTATTCAGCCTCACCTTCAATAACAAAAGATGGTTCTCCGATGTCTGGATCGCCTAAGAAGAGAGATCGATGTTCAAGTCGTGATTCGGATCGCAGCTCCAAACGAGACATCAGGTCACCTCACTGGAAATCGCCAACTCATCAGCAACAACGAAACGGGACCGGTTGGTATATATTGTCCATGTTGCCCGTCGTTGCAATTTCTTCTGAACTTGTCTTTTCGGGGCTTTTCAGTGGCGGAGCGCTAGCAGTTCGCGCGCAATCTTAGATTCATTTAGCCATCGGCGTCAAGGAGAAGATTCCATCGTTGCTGGACATGTGTATCAATGGACTAGAGCCGCATCAGCAATCAACCACAATGTCTTTGATCGACTCCGTTATTCGCGACAGCTTCCACTTCTCTGATGAAACCGCAAATGGAGAGCCATGCAACATCAACGGCGATGAAATCGAGAGGAAAACGATGAAAAGTCGCTCACTGCTTGATATGGACATTCCCCCTCCAGATCGTAATACGATGCGTCGATATGCCGTTGTCCTGAATAGTTGCGAGCTGACCAAACGACGTATTAACGTCCGATCAGGGAGTGAGTCTGCATTATACAACTAACATGCTGCTTTATGTGTTTTTACTTTCATATAAGTTCTCTTTCTTCTTTTCGTACCGATAACGTGACTGTCAAAGTTCACCTATTATACCCAAACTGGCCGTTTTGATGGTTTTGCTGAAAAAAAAAACCAAGAAGGACCAGAAAACTGTTACTTATCGAACCAAATAAGTANGTGACTGTCAAAGTTCACCTATTATACCCAAACTGGCCGTTTGATGGTTTTGCTGAAAAAAAAAACAAGAAGGACCAGAAAACTGTTACTTATCGAACCAAATAAGTAATAGACTTATTATAGATGATCAAGATTTGCAGATCGAATGCTCAAGATGTTCCCGTCGTAGTTTGCGCCTGACTCTATTAAGTTTTAATGCCACGTTATCGGTATTGAAAGCAATGTCTGTTGTTTATTTAAATGTTGCAGAAAAGAATTTTTTCCAATTTTCTTAAGTGGTGGCGTTCGCTGAGTGAAATTCTTGTTTCCTAGATCCCAAGCGTGACGGGCCTTCGAAGAGTCCAAGGATTACGTCACCAAAACGGAATGATCACCACGAGCGACATCGTCAACCACGTGCGTATGTTCACGGAGTTCGGAAATAACAAGAATTAAATTTAGTTTCGTTTTGTTGTTAAGTAATTATGCTAGAGTGATAGTCGTGCTTTATGTTTATTTGTTATTTTTTTTTCTGGTAATTTCTGTGGTCTCTTTTGTACCACTGTACATTGTTGTAATTACAATATTACTTAGTTTTTTTAAGACATTTTTTTTCCTGAAAGAGAAGCATTCATAGTTTTTCGTTATATATTTTAGATGACTTTTTTTATCAAGTTAAGCGACGCCGTTGCATTTGAATCTTGAATTAACTCTATCATTGTTTGTTTGCCTATGGATGGGTTGGTCATTATTCCTTATCATGAGTCGTTGTTTAAAGCTGGTTTTTGCTCACTATTTTGAAGAAGAATGTTCGTATTATTCACAAATTATGTTAATAAATGCGATTTCACTTCTATGACTGCGTGTACTGGAATTGAAACTGTTAATCGTATTCCATATCGTAACAATCGTGTGTGACGCGAATGGCATATATTTACTCGGATTAGGTTGAATTTTAGTTTGATCGATTATGAATTTGTGTGACCAAATGCATCCACCCATAAGAGCTCCAGCTCATGTTGCGAATTTTTTTCTGACTTGCTTTATTCTGCTATCTGCTCAATTTATGCTAGCCATGCAGTATGTTCTAGAGGTTGTATAACTACTACCACCTAAATAGATCAATCAGTACTATCATCTGTTGAATACCTCTTTCTTCGATAGTATCGGGTTTGTCTTCAAGTTAATGAGAAAGAGAATCTTTCTGCAACAGTTGAGCAGGGGTCAAGCTTGTTTCGAGTTTTTAATTAGTATATTTACTACCTATTATTAGCTGTCAAACTATTACCGCCTAAATAGATGAGTCGTATCTGTCACTTGAAGGGTTTCTGCTTCGTTAAAGGAACAAAGCAGTTAGATTTTAGCTTCGTGTTCGTCTTGGGTAGCCTTTTTTACTCCACTTACCTTTTTTAGCACTCCTATCCTTAAGGTAGATGTGAAAGGAGCTTATGTGAAGCGTTTTTCGAACGGTAACGGTTAACGAAGGCCCATTGTGGGAAAATGCTGGATATTTGGTGCATTATCCATCCCGTCCCAGTTCGTAGGTGAGCTGCCCCAACTGAGCTGCCTTCTAATCCCTGTGAAGCCTCGTTTAGGAGTGGTCGCGTTCTGGGAAGGATATGCTCCTGTATAGGAATGTACGTGAATGTTGCGTGTCAGCGGTATGATTCTGCTAATCCTCTTAAGTGCTTTGTGTACGGCGTCGAGTCCTAACATATGGCGCTCTGGCGGAAATATAAATTATGCGTTTTCGGGCATCATTAAGCCAAATCATAGCTGCGCTTGGTGAGGGATAGTTTTGGAAAACTGCATCAGGTAAGGGAAGTTTTGGCTATAAAGTTATGTTTCAGGCAGCTTATGTGGAGTTTGTCTTACTATACTCATGGTTTTTCTACTTTACTTACTACATTGTACCAGAAGTAAAGGTGTAAATAAATTTACTTGATATGCCATTGCCAAATAGATATATATTGTTCCATGATTATATTTGGATATCATTTTGATCGCAGGTATAGAAGTTATGCTAATAAATAATTTATCTATTTATGACCCCGAAGAGTGTACTGATCTTTTCAGAGAAACGACTCAATTTTTGCCCGTAGTCTTATTCCCGACATGCCGACGAGCCAGTTGAGCAGTAAGGGTTATGTCGGGGTCATATCGTCTTCTCTGCCTTAGACAGCTTCTCTTTTAGAATAAATAGGGCGGTCTGCTACGTGGTCTATTGCTTTTTCATATTGCTACCAAGGTAGCGAAGAGGCAGCATCCTACTTACTGATCAATGATGCCCTCAATAGTATCCAAAGTTTTAGTCAATGTCCCTAAATATGTCTTTGCGGTGTGACGGAGTTGGTCTAAATCATTGATTGGTATTGATCGTTTGTGATATTATCAGAGATTATTACATTCCACAACATGCCATCATTTCCTTCTCAGGTGTCTTCGTTTACCTGCCAGACGTATCAGTTCGAATTTGCAAAGATGGCTGAGATAAATGAACGCGCATCGACGTCATCGCCACCGGAACCATCAACACCCGCTCCTGGACCCGAAATCAAGCAGCTTGCCGATGTAATGTATGATCGTGTTGGCGCATTCTTACAATCACAGATTCAAGGTAGAGCTTCACATCCATTAGAGTCCAGTTTTACACCAGTACACAGATACGTAATGAAGATTTCTTCTTTGGGCTAAAGTTTCCCGATGGATCCAGAGTTCTTGGGGGGAACATTCACCCAAAACTGGATGGACGCTGCAAACCGCGCGACGAAATTCGTAGTGGTTAAAACGGCTCTGGCGCCTATCTCATTGGGGCACAAATTTGAAGTGGGGTAGATAAGTAGCATCAGCTGGCCGTGCTTGTTCAATCTAATTGAAACCCGCGGTTAGCCGCGTCTATCCAGTTCTGGGTGGATGTACCCATACCCAGGGTTCTTGGATAAGTGAATAATAGTAAGGGTTCTATATAGGGTTATAGGTTATATAGGGTTTCTTCCCTGGTTCTTTCTTTGCTGATAGCACAGCGCCTACTTTTGTTCCAAGCCCGTGAGTTGAGAAGTGCATTGGGGCGTTCAGAGCGGAAGTGAGCTTGAGAGCTCACAACATGGTTTAATTGTCAGCTTATAATGCCTCAAATGGCCATCGTCGAAGGTAACGCAATTTTCTTGCTTGGCAGTATCTTATTTTTTGTCTAGATTTTGTTCCAAACTCTCGTCATCAGCCTTGGGACACAGTGATTGTTCTTCAATGGCAGTGTGTTTCAGGTACTATCGATGAGTACAAGCTCCTGGAGGATATGAATCTGGCAACTGCTCAAAGATATGTCGATATGCGAGCAGTAGCCGACAAAGTTTCCGAGAAACTTGTACGTTTAAATGATAAATGTGAGTTTACTTACTTGCTATCAGTCAAAAAAATAGTTTCGTTCTTAAACTTGAAGGAAAAAGATGTGGTAGGTATATGGATGGAAGCGGAGGTCTTCCTTTTGTAGGGTCTTTCTTCTTCCAGTATTGAATGCTCAAAATAAAGTTTACGAATTTAGAAGCATTTTTCCATCCGTACACCATCTTACACGGGATGCTACGTAAGAATTACGGTCGGAGTGATTGTAATGGTGGTAGGGAGTAAGGACGAGCGCAGGATTATTTCTCCTCAAGAGAACTTCATTAAATCGAACATTAAGTAGTATGATAATAGTCACATCATTCAGTGTTCCTTTCAAACCTGTAACAGTGATGGGATGTGTCCAACTAGGACTGGACTAGGGGGACACGACTTGAGGAGATTTTAATTTGGTATAGTCAGTGGAGCAGGGTGGGTAGCCCACGTAGTACACCTATCCCGCATACCATAAATGTAATGAGCCAGATATTCACTAGAATTTGCAAGGTTCTGCTGATTTTTCGGTATTTTGAAATTATGAGATGGATTAGGAACAAATGATGAATGAATACGATTGTGCCTGGATTTTCAGATGAATCGCTTCGTCCTTATTTGCAACAAATCGACGAACTGGACGAAAGTACACGGAGACTAGAGGAAGCGGCTAATCTTCTTGATCAATATGTCACAGCTTTAGGTGAGTTTGATTCTTCATCTCTGTAGACGACTACAATTGTTATCACTGGAAGATGATGGTAACGGCGTAGACTATTTTTTCAACGAATGCGGTCGCGAACTTTTCACTGATTATCATTTTGAACGCTTTTGATTACCGCTTAAGGCTAATGTTCAAGTGATAATGGTGTTTATGAAACTTCATTTTTCGGTCTACAAAATATAATTGTTCTCTTTTATTGAACACCAATTAGATTATTCACCCAGCCCCGTTTATTCTAGCCTTGGTGGTTCATATTTCATAAGGGGTGAAGTGGTTTTTGTCGTGTTCGTTTCTCATCGGCTCTACCATATTCATTCTCTCCATTCTCTTTGAAGTGAACCAAAATCGGCCATATTGCTTTGTTCATTATTCGTCAACA